GGCGGTGAACGAGACCGCCAGAGACCCTACTGAAAGCAACTGACGTTAGTGAATGAAGAATGAAATACTGATTTTATTAAAATTTCTTGTCTTTTTATGACGTATGTTGTAAAATATTTTACCATTAAAATTCATCTTAATTTTCGTTGTTTTCTTTCTCGCAGAGAAAAAAGCATATGTACATAAAGTAATGAAGTAATAGTAGAGATTTTATTTTGAATTGAAAGTTATTTGCTTATTTTATTGCTTATAGCATGCTGTGCTACAGCAATGCTGCGCAGGTCTCACAAGAGTCCCACCAGCTGAGAACAATTTTTTCTATCTGTTTCGACTTGTGCTAAATTAAATGCTTGGGCTTGAAATCAGGATATATGACCCAATGATATAACATTTTATAATGTTTGCTTTAAAGCCGTTCCAAAGTTCGAATAAAAGTGTGAGCTAAACTGGAGAAAATAATCACTGCGAGTTAATTGCAACCATTAATTCCTTGTCAAAGTCAGCTATTATTTTGTAGAAGCTGCTTCAGGAGCCTTTCCAAATATTATTGGTCAAATTGAGAACTACGGTCTACATCTTCAGGAAACAGTTTTAGATTGCACGAAGTGTGGCCTGCGCGGCGCGATTTAGATTCACAGCATTTGTACCTATATAATGACGAGTCTTGATTTATGTCAAAATGTGCACGAGACAATGAAAGGGAAAGCCAATGCTTAATAACGCTATCAGTGAATTGTAAGCAGTTCTTTCAGGCAGTTTCTAAATAACCAGAGTATTAGTAATTCAGTAGTCAACTATGCCAAATTTTTAATAGTAAACTCTGTGGACTAATCAGATTGGCGTTACAATTTAATGTGTTCTTAATCGTGCTAGTTTCTACATGGAGATATGCAATGCAGAAAGCTCGTGAACAATAGAGTGTCATCTAGGATCATGCACATAATTCGAAAGTTTTGTAATCTGTCGTCTACAGTAGTGCGACCTTATTCCGGGTTTGGCAAATTCTTTTACGCTAGGTTCTCACTGAAGCAAAGAGAAGTGGAACCTGTTAAAATTGTTTTGATAATTTTAACTGTTCCAATCAACACGAAAGAGTGAGATTGCAACTACGACAAGAGTCGCTATACATGCGTTATGATGAAGATGTCATATTGCTTTCACAGCTTCGAATCTGCGAAGTAACTGTTGCTTATTTTCATCAAGATATGTGCTGATATAGGTAAATCGAATACCTTGAATAACATTTTAAAATGCATCGAATGTTGCAAAATCCATAGCAAGGACTTTCTGGCGTTTGACACTGAATTTGTCAAGCAGGTATCAAAATATGTATCTTAGGAGTACGTTGTATGCAGACGGACGATTGGAAAATGAAGTTAAGAATTGCGCCGATGTTAAGGACAGTACACCATACTGCAGGTATAGATAGTCGCACTGTAAACATCTTGCCCTATAACTTGGAAGTGGCTACACTGAACAGTGCTAAACACACAAACCTGGACATGCAGAAAGTAAGATTTTAATATCAGTACTGGAAGTGGATGGGTACAGCTAGGTGGGAAATGCTATTGCAGGAGATAAGTTTGAATTTCTAACTAAGCTGATCGACTAGCTGCAAAGAAAGCGTTTAACATGGCATGGCTATTGCCAATCAGTGGATGAGAGTCGCCTTCCAAAGCGAGTACTAAAAGCAAAATCTGGCAGGTGGAAGCAAGGAAGATCTAGAAGCTGGCAAGATTTTGTTTTTTGACAACATCGAAATAAGTGTAAAGTGAGCACGCATTCTTTCTCTCTGCCTTGAGATCTTGTGCGGTCCCCGGACGTTTTTCTCTCACACGGAATAGTAAGGCGACGAATTGAATAAAGCCAAAACTTTCCAAAAGAATTCACGTACTTGCAATGTTTTACTTTTGACACAACAAAATTAAAATGTTGACGGCAAAAAGTTATATATTAAACGTTCTTATATCACTTGTGTATGAAATTGTTCGTTAATAATTGATTCATTCATTATTCAAAGGAATCGGTGCTCTTCTCGACCTTGCCACTGCGGATTTTCTATCTGCAGCGTATTATATGTCGCAGCCAGTCGGCGTTGTCGTAGACACTCGTGATCGCAATTTCTTGGGGTGACGGCGGTATATGAACGATGCCGGCGAAAACGTTGTGAAAGGTCAAATGACGGCACAGCAGAGGTGCACCCTCATCTTGCTAAAACAGACATTACTTTCCTTTGATAAGAACACCTACTACTGGCAAAGTTGTAAGTTACTAAATTTTGGATAAAGGATAGAAGTTCGTTCATAAATTGAATTTTAAAGATTTTCCTTGGAAACCCTAATGTTGAACACAACTTGCACCTTTTCTTATTCGTGCTTTTTGTTGTGACCTGTAAAACGAGTACAGGTCAGGAAGATTAAGGATTACGATTAAATATGCTTTTGAGCAACAGGTTTTACTGCAGTCTGATGGCAAATAATCAACTACAAGATTATTGCAGGTGATTGCTTATTCTCTCAAATCTAGCATCACCCATATTCCAGATTACAATCAACTGTCTGTCTAAAGGACTCCAACTTTACAGCGTATCGTCAGGTGCACGTTTTTTCTTACTAAGGCCCATCGACTTCCGAAGCAGTCGACCACTGTGGCAAATGTAGCCAGGTTTTAGCTAAACTCATTATGAACTTAGCAAAGCGATCCATATAAAACGATGCCCTGAATTTAAACCTAGAGAAAATGCGGTCTATTCTAATCATTAAGGAATGCTTTTATCAATAGAGATGAAAAGCTTATGCACTAGGTAGAATGCGGATCGAGACGATGCTGGGTTGATGATACCTTGAAATGAGTTGAAAGAGCGTCAGTCACGTCAGTTGAATCCCAGAAATGTGGGGATAGTTCAGGTCAAAACTTTACTTCAATTCGGAAAGCATCTGCACGGAGAACAACATTTGCTAATATTGATTTCTTGTTGATCGCTGAACTTCACAAAACAAATAATGCGGTGGGTGACGGCGTGCACATAAAGGAGTTAATGTTTTCGATTTCGGGACTGTTGAAAGCAGCTATATTGTTGATTAATATTTCAGGATTGGTTTCAGCCATGAATGAACAAATCAGCAATTTGGGTGATACAGGTATGAAATTTTCATAAAAGAAGGTATTGGAAACTTGCAGCGCTAAACATCTGCCTTCGCATCAAGCTAGAGCAAGACCATGCTCCTCATTAAAGACGGTTCGTAACTCGGTTGTGCTGATTCATTTTTGCCAAACGATAACGCATATGGGTTCACAGGCGGAAGCAGAGACTGGGTCACTATATTTTGCTGCCAGAACTACGGTGATGTTCATTTATGCGAGGTCCTCGGTGATGGTTTTTTCTTTGACAAAATTTGTAGGATACCTGGTGTCATGATCAGCACAAGGTATGAATCCTGAAGAACATAGTTAACACATTGCCGAGATGCTCTAATCTCGCCTTTATTGACCGGGTGTTTCGTCGTTACCCAATAGGAGTAACATAATCAGCGCAACAATACTCACCTCCTCCACCAGCCTTCCACCTTCGGTACGGCTAGCGTAAATTACATGGCCTCTTTCGCCGCTGGCCAC